TTATACACTGTTGGTGAGATTGTATAATGGCACAATTATGGAAGACAGTTTAGCATTTTAAAAACGAAAACAAAAGCAAAACAGCCTGAACACAGAAACTTCGTACAGTCCCTCTATTCCACTCCTAGAAATATACCTCAAGGAAATTAGAACAGACTCTCTGGCTTCTTCAAGCTGAACAGGGGCGTTGATGTGAAGGGGGAAAGGGAGGACATTTTATCACCTTACTGGTGGTCTTGGGTTAAAGCTGCTTGCCTTCTTGTTCTCTTAGAAGATATTTTCCTGCCATTTGCTCCCCTCTGGACTGCAAAGTGTTTTCCCAGGTGGGGCCAGTCGAACCCAGAGGCTCCATCCTCCTTTGCTTCCTTAGCTGTCAGTTGTATTTACTTTTTGGCACTGGCACTGGGTTCAGGGTCAGGTCTGGAGTAAAACTCAGTGTTGAGGTTGCCTATTGCAAAGGGAGCAAACCTAGAGAGAACAAACTTGTGAGTTACAAATAGTAGAGGTTTTGGGGTGTTGCTTTCAGGTTTACTGGGGGAGAGGGTGGCAGAAAGTAGTCTAGATAAAATTCTCTGGATACCCTAGGCATTTTTCCCCCCATCCAAGGGTCAGATGGCACAGTCTGGGGACTGAGAAGCTCATCCTGAGGGCCGTGACAGCTCCCCCCGAGCCAAGGGCCGAAGACAGCCTGTCCCAAGCAGGGCAACCCCCCCCCCCCAGGGGCTGGCTGGTCCACTCTCCCTCTAATTTCCAATTGCCTCCACCCCAGTGTGGTCCTCTCACCTGACCGAGGACTATGTGGCCAAGGACAGCATCTCCAATTCCAGCACTGCCACTTTTACCCCCCCATAAGTTGTCATATTATAATTTGAAGTAGGTGTCGCTGCCATCCCCCTTTATAAATGGCAAAGGGAACCTGAGAGTTGTGAACAGACTCCCCCAGGTCTAAACAGCTTTTGGCAGAAGCATTCAACAGATCAAAATATGTGGTGCATTTAGGATGTCAGTCCTCTTGGACATGCTGCCACTGTTAAGTGTCATTAAGTAGACAACTCACAGTGACCTTCAATAATCCATTATATAGGTTATCATCTTCTCTGACCTGTCCAAGGAAACCCAAACCTGCAGGCTGCAGGGTGCTCATCCTATTTCCCACACAGGTGGCAGGCAGGGCGCCTGTCATCTCCTGCACAGGCAGCAGGCGGGGCACATCATGACTCACTTTTTGGAGTCATGCAGCACTAGGTCATCTAAGGAAAATTGCTCATGTGCATGTAGAACTGCTCCACGTGCCAGATCCCAGGAGAAAAACTGCACCTTATGAGCTGTAGTTGTTGAAGAATCCAAACTTGACAGACACTTCAGACCTCTAACTCAAGCCCAAAGAGCTGAGGTTGGAAGCCAGGTGCAGAATCTAGACAATTAGATGTTTTCATCTACGTTGATGGTGCCGAAGGATCCATCCTCTTGAGACGTTTTGGAGTCCCTTTAATTGATCTTGGGTTTCCTTGAATGATCTGGGTTTCCTTGCGTGAACCAGGGTTCATGAGTGATCCCAGGTTTCAGCACCAAAATGTTGTTGTGTACCTGTGTTCACCCTCTTGTACCTTCATTTTCTCCTTTGCTTCCATGTCCCTGCTGCCCCTTTGTGTCCTCCTGATCCTCACCCCACAGGCTTCATGGCTACTCCTCCCGGCTGAACCCACCATGGGCTTTTTGTACACAGTGTTCATAGCAGCATTATTCATCATCACAAAACCCATGGAAACAGCTTAAATGTCCAACCACAACCGAATAGATTGAGAAATTATGGTACATTCACACAATGGCATACTATGCAGCACTCAGAACAACCATTTCAAAACATACTACATAACTTGAGAGAAAATGAAGAGCATTATGTTGAGTGCACAACTTAGCCTCATAAGGATAAATACTGCATAAAATAAATATTGTAAAAAATAGAATAATAACTACTAAAACATGTATGGAAATCCAAGGCGGGAAGGGATGGGAGCAGAGGAGTTAGGGTACATAGAGGAGAAATCATAGAGTTGTGCAATTTGGTGAGTGGAGAGAAGGAGTAAAGGAAATGGAAAAGATCCTGTGGGGACCTGAAAAGACAGGGTAATGATAGGCTGAGTTCAGTGGCGATAAATTTGATAAAACATAATAAAAGGGAGTGATTATATGAAATATGATGAAGAATAGTATGAAACATAATGTATACACACTTTGTATGCAAATCAATGTAAAATAATTTTTTAAAACAAAACAAAACAAACACCAAAAAGCAAATTGAGGCCTTGAGTTGCAATACTGAGAGATATTATGGGCAATAATTTTACTATTTGTTTTGCTAAGTTTAATAGCAGATTATTTGTAAGAATTCTCAGGCAAATGTAATTCCAAATGCTTAAATAGCTTTGTTGTTTTTGTTGGGTACCGTAGAGTCAGAAATAAGCCATTGTTCACCCTCTGGCAGGTTTTCAGAGGTAATAATTGTATGGGAAGAGATTGCCCATCCTTCTCCTGAGAAGTAACTGGTGTCCTAAAACCACTTGCCTTCGGGACTGTAGCTAGGTTTCTTGCCCCTAGGTCACCAGAGCATAGGCCCACAATTTTTAATAAAACCCCTTGGATCAGCTAGTGGATTAGAATTTCCTGCCTTTGGATTGGCAGTTCAATTGGCTGTCTGCTTGGATGGACTCCAAGGAAATAAAAATAGAAAGTTAAAAAATGAAAAGAAAAGTGTTGTAACAAAGCAACCCAAAGAGATGGGATTTTTGAATCATAATCTTCTAATTTGTTAACACCACACCTGGTATTCTACATTTATTGAGGGATAAGTAAATCTGATACAACTGTGAAAGGAAGGTGAGCATGGATCTCTCTTCAGAGTGTGTGGCAGACTCCGCCTTTCTACTTGCCTCACCCACAAGACAGTACCCTATCTAAAAAACAAGAGTTAACTCCACAGAAGCTCATTTGCTTTCAGTTTTGGTTCACTTGACACCCTTAACAAGGCTTTAATATCTTGCTTCCTTTTCAGCTACTGAATAAAATTGTTCTCCAGGAGCATCACCAGCAGGAGTGTGCAAAGGAGTAAGGTGGAACAGCTGAGAAATTTTACAGCGACACACAGCCACACTACCAGGTAAATTATTAAGAAAAAAATTTTTTTTCTTGCATGTTTTCCTTAATTAAAAAAAATTCCCAACACAATGTTCTAAACTGACTTATGGGTATGGACAAGGGAAACAGGAACAGTAGACCCATGGAATCTGGTCATCAGAAGCTTTGATCCTGGCAGTTTTCTCTGTTGGATAAGAGGTTGGGTGGTTAGAGTGTATAGAAGGAACCATGCTGACCTAAAGATACACTGCCCCTCATTCTAAAGTCACCAATGTTTGCAGCAAATAACCTATGTCTTCATCTTTGTAAAAGTGGCAGAAGTCCTTTTGCTGGGGTTAGATTAAATGTTTCCTTTTAGCAAAGGCTCAACTCAATGCCTTGAAACTCTCTCATAGCAGACCCTCCAGGAGGTTTTCTGAGATTATAAATCGCAAGATATGTGGCTCCTCATATTTCTGTTGTGGAACCTCGGAGGCTTGGATCATTTTGCAGCACAACTCAGGGATTCCTTTTGTGGAATTGCTTCCTTTGTTTTTCCTCTTTTCCACGTTTAATAATCCAATGACTCTTCAAAGCTTTATTTATGAAGATTTCTCATCACTCTTTCTAATCAACTATTAAAAATAACAATAACATCCATGCCTTCACTTTCTTGCACTTTAGAAGGAACTGCCAACTGTTTCTTTCCATATTTAATCCATCATGACCACTTAAACCCTGTCTTCTTAGGCACTCACAGTGCTTGAGCTACCCTTATACCACATTTACTATGTACCAGACATTCTTTGAAGTACAATAAAACCTTTCCATGATCACTTGGATATTAATGTATAGAAACATGGGAATACATAGTGAAGATAGTTATGCCTTAGAATATAACTCCATGATCTCAGTCGTCAGGTGTCAGAAATTCTTCATTAATTTGATGTAAATGAACAGGGCTATAACCCAAGCAAGGGAACTTTGCCAAATCTGAATAAATTCTCAAACATGCTGGCTGCTGGTTCATTTCTTTGCCAACTTATAAGCAGGAAATAATTCTTTCTTCCATTTAAATAAAAAACAAATCCTTAGATGTTTATTTTCTAATTTTGAAAGAGCTACCTTCATTTTTTTTCTTGTTTCATCCTCTCATTGTCACTCCTTCCTCAAAGCTGCCTCCTACTCCCTTAAATGCATAAAACCTAACTTTGTAAGTCAGTTCAAATCACCAGCAGCTTCTAGGGAGAAAGATATGGTAATTACTCTATATTATCTGTTGGATTAATGAGAGACCAAGCTGTCTAAAAACTAGAACCACTATTCCTCTTCATCATGTCCATCCTGCCACTATATTTTTTAAAGAAAATTTTTATTTTATACTAATTTAATTACAAAGTTTATATACATTATTTTCCACACTGGATTTATTTAATCACCAATTTCTGTTGTTCTCAGCAGTCTTCCTGTTGTTCCTTTTAATTTATACATCAGTAAGCAAGATACAAGTAGAGCTTTTTGTAGAAATTGATGGTGGCCTAGTCTAGAAGAAGTTGTGCTGCTAAACATAAGCATGGTTCCACTCTGTTGGTTTGAATTCAGCAGCCACTCTGAGGGAGAAAGATGAACATACTTCTCCTCTGCAACTCACAACCTCAGAAAATTCAGTAGGAAGTTGTTTATGAGTTGATTCTGAGTTTAATTGTTGAGATGATTAGGGAGCAATAAGGAATCTATACTAGGACTTAAAAGACGAAATGTAGAAGCTGATAAATAATATGAATTCCATAAACAGAAAAAATGATATACAGATACCAGGCATAACTAGCAGATATGGTGGTAGTTCTTGCTTTGTACTGAGTGGCTCTTTTCGATTGTAGGTTACTATGGCTTCCAGATCTATCATGACGGAACCTATTTGTTTGGTGGGAAACAACAATGACCAGCTGGTGGTGAATCCAGAAGCATTAAATATCCTTAACAAGCTATCTCAGCCAGTGGTTGTTGTGGCCATTGTAGGGCTGTATCGAACAGGGAAATCCTATCTAATGAACCATCTGGCAGGAGAGAAGCATGGTAAGTATTTTCCTGGGACAGAAACCATTAGTTTGGGACCAATGTTAAAACAGGTTAATTTCTCCTCCAGGGTCATATAAAGGAAGAGTCAGCTTCTTCACCCTGGGAAAAAAATCTTTATTCAAATCTCAACAAATTTACAACTTTAACCTCATCTATTCACAAATATTTAATAAGGAACTCTTCTTCAATAAAAAAACGTATTCTCTGAATCCTATCCAAAGATCTACCCCAGCATTCCTCTGGATTACTTCATTCTCACCTGCTCAGGATCTCAGATCCACCAATAATTTTCTTTCTCCTGTCTCCCTTGTATCCAGAGAAGAAGATAGCTGAATATATAATATCTCATGGAATTTACTTTAGAATTTTTCAGTTTGCTCCACTTCATAGCAACACTGACAAATTATAAGCTCTTGACTTTTGCTGTCTTGTTTAATATGTGAACTTGACCATGGCATAGACCATAAAAAAAATGCAGGATAGAGAGTATGGTTCCACTCTGTTGTCCATAGGGTCTCTATGAGTAGTGATGTACTCAGTGGTACCTAAAAAAATTATGCATAATTGCATAATAAAATGAGTAAATATAGATTAACATTTGCATAATCAATGCTCAGAACAAGAAAAATTTACAATATATAAGTGGCTCAGTCTTACATCTTTTTTCAGCCTTTGTGGTACTCACCAACACATTACTTTTCATGTCACTTGTTCCTATTTTGATTTTTAGAAATGACTCTAAAATATAAACAGATATTTTGAAAAAGACAATCTAATATCACATGTTTATAAAATTTATTGAAAGGGAATTATACATATTTTTAATTGTGATTTGAGTAAAGATGTGTAAAACTAAGGGGTTTTCAATTCAACCAATCATACACAAAATATAATTATATATGTATAGTTTGACTATTACTTTTTGTCTCATCAAAGAAGTTGAAAAGATTCATGTAGTAAATTGTATATATCTATGTATTATTTATTTTCATTTTATTGTGATAGTAACTATTTATTATGGATGAAAATTTGCATTATAGTAACTTTTTTCTTTATGAATAAGGTTCTCATGAATATATCTTGTATCCAGAGCCAGTTGCTCAGATCAATAAAACCACTGACATAGAAAAGCTCAGGAATGAAATTACTAGATCACAGGATATGTGTCTTTAGCTATATCAGAGAATATTAACTTCATTTCCAAATTTATGTGGAATTTACATGATTATTAGTAGTTATTGAGAATTGTACACATATTTACAAAAATCCACTTCTTTCCTCTTGATCATTGTTGCTGTTGTTGATTTTCATTGAATCGAGCACAACTCATAGCAACCCTATGAACAAACAAAAGTCCTGAAGCCTTTCTATAACTATCGTCATTTATCAAAATTCATAGAGTTTCCATAGGAATGTGGTTTAGGAAGCGGATGCCATTCCTGCTTTCCAACCTGTCTTAAACTGGGAGCTCCACCAAACACTGTCCACCTTGGGTAAGCATTGTTGTTGTTTGGTGCCGTCGAGTCGTAGATGACTATAGCAACCCTATGAACAAAAGGCCTGAGCATTGTTCATAGGATTTCTGGAGGCAAGGCAGGTAGGAAGTGGGTGCAACTCCTGCTTCCAGGCTTGTTTTAGTCGGGATGCTCCAGCAAACACTGTCCACCATAGGTGACTGTTAGTGTGTTTAGCACATCAGTGTCACAGTGGTCAGCATCACAGCAACCACTAGTTACCTCTGTACAGCAATGCGTAGACCAGTGCTATACCACCTAGAAAAATGTTTGCTAGGAAAACAATTTTAACCTGGTCTGAGGGCTGCAGATTAAAATCACCCACCTTCAGCTTGGTAGCATAACTTTCTGTCCATGAGGCCAACGTAGCTCTGTGTCATCGTTGTTGTTGTTTGGTGCCGTCCAGTTGTAGACGACCCATAGTGACCCTGTGAACGAAAAGCCTGAGCATTGTTCATAGGGTTTCCGGAGGCAAGGCATTTTGGAAGTGGATGCCGCTCCTGCTTCCAGTGAGTAAGCATTAAGAAGAAAAATAACCCCACAAAAACCCATAGAGATTAGGAGTGTTTCCATTAATCTGCTATGTGATGTAGTTTGAGTCTCTGAAGAGACAAGGTAAGAAGGAGGCACAAATTGTTTCTTGTTTTCTATACATAAATTTCTTTTCTGAGATGGAAGCAACTCCTCTCTGCCAGACATTTGCCTTCTCTCAAGTTTAACCACTGCAGCTTCAGGGAAGCCCTTATTCTCTGCTGTCACCAGTGTTGGCTTTTCCTCTTCTTAGGTTTTAGGCTGGGCTCGACAGTGAGGTCTGAAACGAAGGGCATCTGGATGTGGTGTGTGCCTCACCCCTCAAAGCCAAACCACTTGCTGGTTCTTCTGGACACTGAAGGCTTCGGAGACGTGGAAAAAGTAAGGAAGATAGTGGTGTGGAAAGAATCTTGCTTTTAAGTTTCTAATTATCTTCTAATTGGTTGTATTAATTCTGTTTTTCTGACATTTTTATAATGAATTTGTTGATGATGAGATTAATTTTGCTTTATGATCTTTTTTTCTGATCTTCTTTAACGAGCATTAATATTAGTGTATTAGGAATAGTTCTTACACTATTTAACACCGAGATAAAAATATAGTAATAAATGCTTCCTGAACAGTTGAATCTCGGGAATCTATTGTAAGTGTTTTTAGGAACATTTATGAACAAGGCAAAGGCCCAGAGACTGATTGAGAATTCAACATATAAACAGTGTTATTCATATAAATTAACTTGGATGCATGTATGTGAGAACCCGACCTGAATTCATGGGATGAGCGGCAGCATCCAGTGCATCAAAACTCTTTCCAACAGGGTGAAAAGAAAACCTACTGACTGGAAAAAAAATTTGGTAATCCCATCTCAGACAAGAGTCTTATAATGAAGGTTTACAGGATACTCCTGGGCCTCCACAAGAAAATGACAGATAACCCAATTACAAAATGGGCAAAAGACATGGAAAGAATTTTTACAGAGGAAGATACTCAAAAGGCAAACAGACACATGAAGAAATTCTCAAAGTCACTGGAAATAAAAGAGATTCAAATCAAAACCACAATGAGGTACCATCGCACTCCAGTAACTGGCGAAATTTAACAGGGCAACAAATAATAAATATTGGAGAGGATGTGGCAAGGTAGGAACTCTTACAGGTTGTTGGTGGAATTGTAAAATGGTGCAACCATTCTGGAAGGCAGTTTTGCCCTTCCTCAAAAAGCTGAGCATAGAAATTCCACATAACCCAGCTATTCCACTGCTTGGAATATACCCTGAGAAAATGAGAACTTAGGCACAAATAAAGATTTGAACACCGATGCTCACAGCAGCATTATTCACTATCACAAGAACCTCTAAATAGCCGAGATGTCCAACCACAAGCGGATGCATTGAGAAAGTGTGGTACATTCACACAATGGAATACTATGCAGCAAATAGGAGCAATGATTTTGTAAATTATTGCCTAACTTGGGAGGAACTGGAGAGCACGATGCTGAATGAACTAACTCAGACCCACAAGGACAAATATTGTATAAAACAATTATTGTTAAATGAGGAGAGGGGGTAAAATGTGCAGCAATGAATGAATGAAAATCTAAATTTTGCTAAAATCACAATTAAAATAAAATATTTTATTTAAAAAAAGGATGTGGAGTTGATGAGATTGGACGTAGGATTTTTAAAATCAGGATTCAATAAAATAATCTACTTAAATAACCTCCATAAAAGTTTAAACTACATTGGAATTATTTATTCATAAAAGCTTCGTCATAGTCTCTGGGCTTTGGATATTAATTAATTATTCACTAGTTTTTCTGTTGGAAGATCTGGTGGCTTAGTGGTAAGAAGTTGCATTGCTATTAACTAACCAGCTACTCTCCAGGGGAAAAGGTTGATTGGACAGTCTTCTCCAAAGTAATTTGCTGCCTCTGAAAACTGACTGAAAGGTCAGCTATGGGTGTGTTCCACTCAATGGCACACAACAAGAAGTTTCATTAAAACCATGAACTTGGTGCACTTTAAAAAAATTTATTAATGAAATATTTTAGGAAGGTCTTTTTTGTGCATTGAGTAATTTCTTTCTTCTTTCTCTTTTTTGTTACTGTGAGCTTAAATATAAAATAAGTACAGTAAACTTTGGTGTTCATTATTTTAAAAGAACAAAAAGTGTGGGTATTATTTACTTGAATCTCATTTCTGGCTTCAGATTCAATTCCTACACACTACTCCCTGCTTCAAATGAATGGAGTAACTGTAAAATATCTGTAAATAACCCATACTTTCTAACATTCCTTGCATGACTTTTGTTGGTTTGATAACTATATAATCACTTCATCTCTGAAGTTCATATTCTGTAATTTCTTAAAAGACTAGCTACTGACATCCTATCCCAGTCATATGTAGTTACTTTTTACTTTGAATCCACAGAATACATGTTCCATT